GGGCTTCGTTTTCCAGCAGATAAAAACAATTATAAAGAAGGTAAGTAATGTGATCGATAAAACAAAGTTAGTTCCATGTCAAGTAATAAAAGGCATTTAAGGAAGTTGTCACTTCTCCGATCAGTTTAGATTCATTATTTCTAACCCTACCATCTACTTCAATTTGATGAGAACATTTCCCTTGATCCCCGATTTTATTCATTTATTCATGATTGATAGATTTTTAAATTTATTCTACCATTTTGATATTATTGGAAGAAAGCAAACTTAGCGTTTTATAGGATGTTCAGCATTGGCATCATAAACAAACACTACTTAATATATAAAGTGTTCGGATAAGACTTAATGTGAATGAGGTAACAAATCCGCAAATCAAGGACAGCTTTCAGAGATAACCTTTTAGATACTGGGAAATTTGATGGTTACCTTCCATCCCTTTCTTTCATTATTTATGATCAATGATTCAACTTTCAATAACTGAGGTGCTTGCATCTTTATTTGACTTGTGAAGCAGGCTTTTTGCCGATTTGTTGGCATTCTTTTATGGGCTTGATTTAGCAAACCGAGCTTACTCCTTTGCTTTTATCTTAATGTTAGCACTGCCTGCATAATCTGAATTTGTGATCTTCACAAAATGAGAAAATAACGTTATTTCGCTCTGAATTCACTTCGAGCATCTGCTGTGGCAGTTAAGATTATTCAGCAGCAGTCAAGGCATTTTCGTAGAACATTTCCGTCCTCCGTAAATTATCAAAAAATTATGGATTTGTATTCCGAAATCTCTCTTTTCTGTTCATCATCACCATTATCACAATTATATAATTATGTACTCACTATACGCCTTTTAGGTTAACGGGTGTTTACCTTCCCACGGTAAAAACAGTTGCATTTCGGATAGATCAGGTAAGCTCTTTAATTTTCTTCTAAACTTTCCGGGCAAATTATGAGAGCAAAATTTGAAGTTTCCCAGTAAAAATAATAATTCCATGACAATATTACCTTGGGTGACAATTTGTTCAGATAAAAAATAACGTAATGAATATGAATGCTTTTGTGATGAGTGTGTTTTTCTTTCAGTAACAGCTAAAATCTTATTCAGAGACTTATTAAGAAATTGTTTATCATCAACTTTATACAAACTTGTGGCTTCTAGTCATGAAGACATGTGAATGTTAATTGCTGATTTTATATTTGTAGACTGATACTTCTACGGTATGCAGGGATGCAAAGGTCATTATATGTTTCGCACTGATTTTTCGGAAGAAAACATCGGAACAAATATTGTCTCTAAGTAAGCGTTTGCAGGCGGAACTCATCTTTTTAGGATATCATCAATTTTTTTTTTTTTTGGGGGGTTACTTTAACAAATATATCCTCATTAAGAAAACAGGAAAACCCTTTAGTTCAAATAGGCCCATCAGATCGTGCCTAAACTTAGGACCCGCCCGAATTCGATAAGCTGCCTTAAATTTAGCAAGTGTAATGTTTCTGACCCCTTGATATGATAGGCTGGTCCTAAGTCGGGAGTGTTCCAGTGCGTCAGTGATCTTTACCGCTGGTGTTGAGAAGATCGCAGACGCACCAAAACATCAACGAAGAAGAAAAAAGACTGAGGATCTGCTCTCGAATATTTTATTGTTAACCGAAACTAGCCTACATTTCAGTTCCTAGGACTTCTCCAAAAAATGTCACGATGGTAAACAACACGTACAAGAGCATTTTTATCACATGGGATGCTGTGCCAACGAATCAGACAAATGACGAAATTTTCGGATATGAAGTAGAATATTCGATAATAGAAGGAGGTCAACCGGCATGGGAGAAAAGAAAAGTGTTTAGTGTTTCCGACGTACATTTCAACCTTACAGGATTAATTGTGAACAGAAGGTACGAAATCAAAGTGCGGGCCTACAACCAGTGTGGGAATGGTCCGTCAAGTGAGGTCCTCTGGGTAAAAACAGACGAGAGAAGTAAGTAATATCTTTTCATATATCATATGATCCGCACTGCCCCGCACGTGCAATGCCGTAGATAACCATAGTGTAAGCTGGCGAATGTAAGGCGGGACGTGTTGACGTGAACTTGTTGGGAAAATAAACCATCCGGCCCCGCACCCACATAGCTCTTTTGCATTTTTCCGAGAAAGAGGATTAAAATTGTGTAAGTTTACCACAACAGTCCAACAAAATATACAAGTTAGCTCTAGATTATTTTGCAAGATTTTCAATTGGCGCCCTTCTGTGTGCGAGTTCCAGCACTAAATGGTCATATAACAAAATGCTTATTGACTGAGTTTTGTTAGACCAGAACAGAAAAATATGTGGCTCGAGGTAATGCCGTACGGACAGAGTTCACCTCGAGCCAAATATTTTCCTTCCCGGCCCTCCCGCTCACTCATTAAGTACATAAAATGTGGTTGGCTCCAGGGCCTAAGGTGGCGCCTCCAAATATTAGCGCAGTGAGAGTGAATTCGTCCTGTGTACTGGTCTCCTGGGAAAGGATACCCGATGGTAAACGACGGGGCTTGATACAGAAATACAGAGTAAATATTACATCAAAGATCCCCAACGAAACAACAAGTCGCGAAGTACAAGCGCCAACACAGTATCTGGAGATCGTTGGCATAAATGTGGACTCAAAATTTACCATTACTGTGGAGGCTGCAAATAGCAAAGGATTTGGACCAGTCAGTGAGCCTGTTAATATAACTGCTGTTCCGTAACAACATCCTTGGAACAATTTACGATACCAAACGTGATGATCTGTGAAATTTTTTTAATGTACAGGGTACAATAAAGGAATTATCGCCAATCGCAGTTATGGTCGATTTTTCTCCATTTCGCGTGTACGTCTGTAAATGGTCTGATAAAAACCGTAGACTGTTACATAGGATAATTGTTAATAATCGTCAGCTTTGTAAAAAATTGCAAAAGTAATTATCACCATACAGTTACTTGTTGTGGGTAAACGTCCCGGAACAATTTTCGGTGGAAAGGTAAGAACTATTTAAAAGATGATGTAATTAAGGCAAGAAATGCTGATGTTTAGTTCTTAAGCGAGGTATGTATTATGCTGTAAATCAATTTTTATTAAAAAGAATAAAAGTCTTATGTCAAATGAAACACATTTACAAGTTTGACAGGGTTAAATGAAGAGTTTAAGATGTAAGCCTTCATTCCAGTTCCTGGGACTCCGCCACAAAATGTCACCTTTGTGAACAATACCGCCAAAAGCATATTCATCTCATGGGATGTCCTACCAACCAATCACACATGAGGAAATTTTTAGCCTACGTGTAACCGTGCCCTCCAGCGCTTTATTTTATTTTATTTGCCCTTCCTTTTGCTTTTCTTCTCAAATAGACGATGCACATCCCTAAACTACTGATATAAATTTTCGAATAGTGTGATAGGGATTTGGAAAACTAAAAGACTGAATGACAAGGAAAGCGGAGACAAGAGCATACGGCATTGTGCCACCGCAATAACATGTGTCTTAGCTGGGATAAAATGTAAGTTTACTTTTAATGCCTCTCATACATCTACGCATCCAGACTCAGGCCTTTCATTTCCTATTGCAGTTCTCCTTCCCTGAAATTCTTTGTTGCTTCATCATAATAAAGGCGCCCAACTTTAACGCAATTGAAATGAACATGCAACCAATAAATACGTACCTTAATTTTTCTTATCTGTTGAAAAACAAAGCCGGATGAGTAGATAAGTACCTCATCTCTGTCGCACACGCATCCACTCAGGAAAAAACATTGAAACACTTTCTTTTGGAGTCTGATTAAGATTTAGTGGCACAGCGCTCAAGTGCAAGAAGTAAGCCAAGTTTATTGCAGGCAACTAATTAACATTTGGTCAAAGATTTCTCATCTAAGCTTGGTCACCCTTACTCACGCTTTCGTCACGCATTCAAATACTCGTCAAATACTCCACAACTACGATGTGAAAATCAATAAGCAAGACCTCGTTGTATTTCTAAACGAACACACGAGTGACCGCGAGTGACCACGAGTGACCACGAATGACAAAGAGTGACTACGAGTGACTGCCAGTTACTACGAGTGACCACGAATGTCCACGAGTGACCAGAACCCAAAAAGACTACGCTTGATCACTAGTTCTAAGTCATTAAAATATTTGGCGACATCGTTCCCTCAAGAGAGAGGGTGGAAGAGAGAGGACCCGCGGAACGAGGTTGAATCTTGGCTGACATCATAATTTCGTCTTCAATACGTCTTTTCATCGAATAGTCATGATTTAACCATAAATAAAAATCATTTCCGCAGGCCGAAATATGTGAAAATTGTATCATTTCCTTCCTTTCCAAAGGGTAGATCCCCGACAGCAATTTTGCTGTCAAAAAAGTATAACATTGTTAATTCGTGCCCTTCCTCTCGAGTATTCCACTTCCCACTTTTCGGTCTCTCGTATAATGTATAACAAATAACAAATAGAGAAGCCCTAACTGTTCCATGTTTTGTTGTGAAACATTCAAGAAGTGGGGAGAAACACTCGACCACGTCTCGTGTTCCTCACTACACTTCTTTCGTGCTCTAACCGCATCCTGCGTTCTTTTCATCAATACAGAGCACAGTCAAGGCTTTTCTATTTGTTTTATTACAAAGAATCCTTTAAATTCCCTTCGCATTACTTTCAATTTTCAAAACAAACTCTATTTCCAAAGCAAATCACAGAGTATTAATGTGGTTACCAGTGGTACCAAGTAGCTATGCATTTCATTCAACTTATCCTCACAGTTGATCATGAGGCATAAAAAATCATCTTCACAGCGCATGAACGTAGGTTGAAGTTATCATATTTCAGGGGACAACTTTGTTGCCTGTTTATATGGAAGTGTTGGTCACTTTTTTGTGCTAAAACTCCCGCAAAACCTTTATTCGTTCTAGCATTTTTCCACATCGCGGGTTCGAAGCGGGCAAATCGAGCCTAAACTGCTCGAACGGGTAGTCAATCAACCACAATATTCATTAAACCTTGCTCACTCGCGGGGTAAACCCTATGATATGGGAGTTTATGGATGTCAAAGCGGAGATCATGAGGTAAACAATCTGAGCAGATGCTTTTTTGTCACGTCCGCAAGAATCATCTTTTCCAATGCTTTTGTTATCTCATCAGCGGGAATGAATTCCAGTGAAGGCGTTCGTAATTTATTTCCCATCGTAAAATATGATCGGACTTGAAGTGTAAATGCGCTTTCGATAACAAAAGTTCGGCTTAAATTCTGAAAGAGGTGAGAGCAATTATTTATATGTGTCACTTGTCTTCTAATTTGAGCTTTTAAGAGCTGTCACTTATGGTAATTTCCCTAAATATCTGATGCTCTCTGTCATTAATAACGTGAGAAGAATATCATTCATATCGTCATGCTCAAATACTTGATATTTCTCAAGTTGGTTTTAGTTTTTGTTCAGCACAAACTGATATTTGCAATTCAGCCCACCACAAAGAACAACCATGTTTTAGCCGGCCATGTTTTTCAAGCCTTTACTGCAACAGACTGGTTCAACTGTCTACAAACCTGCCATGATGATCCAAGATGCATCTCGTACAACTACCAGAGATCGGCAGAAGCCAACGGTCTGTGTGAATTGAATGACTGTGGAGTTGAAGACTTTTGCGACAGAGAAGGGTCTATCTTTCACTCCCCAGGATTTGTGTTTCAGCAGATAAGGACGAGTAAAGTAAGTGCTGTATTAAGTAAAACAAGGTTGTAATTCTGATTTAGTAGTCGACGTCATTTGTTGCAGTTCACAGCTCAAACTAGCTTTTATTTTAACCAGCAAGTACAGTCACAGGTTTAATTTTATTTATTTTGAATTCAATTTTCTATGAGGCAGCTAAAGCCAGGGACGTTACTGTTTGTTAGTCAAAATAATTTCACATTCTACGAAAGCTTATGGGATCATGGGTATCTCAAACACGAAACCTATTTTCCATCTACTTCGGTTTTTTCTACCAGAAATAAAGACTTCCTCTTTTAATTCTTCATTTTAGGAGTGCAAACATGTTTGTCTTTCTGCTAATTTCCATGCACTTTTAATACGCTTCTTCTAAACAAAAATCCCCTTTATTTTCTCCAGGAAGCGTTTTAAATCTAAGACGTTTTATAGACACCCTTTCCTTCTTCAATCTATCCATTAATTTCATTATTTGTTTGCTTAAGTTTTATTTGATCAGTTAAACCAATGTTTATACTACTTAAAATTGCAGAGAAATACGTCCTCTCGGTGCTTTTGCTCTTGAGTTTTTCTGTTTGAAAGTTTGCCTAAATTGTTTATCACTGCTGTCGGAAGCGTTAGCTAATCGAATATATCGGCTTTTTCACAAGCCTTGTCACAGTCATGTTAATTATCATTTGTTCAAAAATGTTCAAACGATATCCAGGTGTCAATTTACTTTGCCTTTGCGTTAAGCTCTAAATATTCTTATCCAATTTTGTGTATAGAAAAACCAGAATTTATTTTTGTTTTCCAGCAGATAAAAACAATTATAAAGAAGGTAAGTAATATGATCGATAAAACAAAGTTAGTTCCATGTCAAGTAATAAAAGGCATTTAAAGAAGTTTTCACTTCTCCTATCAGTTTAGATTAATTGTTTCTAATCCTACCATCTACTTCAATTTGATGAGAACATTTCCCTTGATCCCCGATTTTATTCATTTATTCATGATTGATAGATTTTTAAATTTATTCTACCATTTTGATATTATTGGAAGAAAGCAAACTTAGCGTTTTATAGGATGTTCAGCATCGGCATCATAAACAAACACTTAATATATAAAGTGTTCGGATAAGACTTAATGCGAATGAGGTAACAAATCCGCAAATCAAGGACAGCTTTCAGAGATAACCTTTTAGATACTGGGAAATTTGATGGTTACCTTCCGTCCCTTTCTTTCATTATTTATGATCAATGATTCAACTTTCAATAACTGAGGTGCTTGCATCTTTACTTGACTTGTGAAGCAGGCTTTTTGTCGATTTGTTGGCATTCTTTTATGGGCTTGATTTAGCAAACCGAGCTTACTCCTTTGCTTTTATCTTAATGTTAGCACTGCCTGTATAATCTGAATCTGTGATCTTCACAAAGTGAGAAAGTAACGTTATTTCGCTCAGAATTCACTTCGAGCATCTGCTGTGGCAATTAAGATTATTCAGCAGCAGTCAATTTTGTTCAAGGAGCTTCAATCTCACGAGAGAGGTTTTGAAACCGTCTAAAACGACAGATACTCAGATCAGAGTCACCTGCACTTGCAGAAAGAATATACTCAAGGCTCAACTCTTTTATCAACGATTTGCCGGACGATGCACTCGTACTCGATGATAAAATTACCACGCTCGAACCTCTTAGTAAAAAGTGGGGCATAACTGCTCAAGATAGGGGAAATATTACGACGCATGATTGGAACCTTACTAAAAACTGACCGGCAATCACTGTTTTGTCTTTGTTCAAATTGCTTTGTCTCTAATTTGCTGAACAACCAAACCTCGATCGCAATGGTGGGAAGTGTAATTCAGAGAAATCAGCATAACTTCAGCATAATTTTCGAAGAATCTAAGTGCTGCCAGAAGCAAATCATGCTACTTTTATGAATGCAATCAACCCTACTGAGAGGTGTAACCGTTGCGATATTTTGAAAGGCATTTTCGTAGAACATTTCCGTCTTCCGTAAATTATCAAAAAATTATGGATTTGTATTCCGAAATCTCTCTTGTCTGTTCATCATCACCATTATCACATTTATATAATTATGTACTTGCTATACGCCTTTTAGGTTAACGGGTGTTTATCTTCCCACGGTAAAAACAGTTGCATTTCGGATAGATCAGGTAAGCTCTTTAATTTCCTTCTAAAATTTCCGGGCAAATTATGAGAGCAAAATTTAAAGTTTCCCAGTAAAAATAATAATTCCATGACAATATTACCTTGGGTGACAATTTGTTTAGATAAAAAATAACGTAATGAATATGAATGCTTTTGTGATGAGTGTGTTTTTCTTTCAGTAATAGTTACTAAAATCTTCTCCAAAGACTTATTAAGAAATTGTTTATCGTCAACTTTATACAAACTTGTGGCTTCTAGTCATGACAACATGTGAATGTTAATTGTTGATGTTATATTTGTAGGCTGATAATTCTAGGGTATGCATGGATGCAAATGTCATTATATGTTTCGCACTGATTTTTCGGAAGAAAACATCGGAACTAATATTGTCCCTAATTGAGCGTTTGCAGGTGGAACTCATCTTTTTAGGATATCATCAATTTTTTTGGGGGGTTCCTTTAACAAATATATCCTCATTAAGAAAACAGGATAACCCTTTATTTCAAATAGGCCCATCAGACCATCAGATCGTGTCTAAACTTAGGACCCGCCCGAATTCGATAAGCTGCCTTAAATTTAGCAAGTGTAATGTTTCTGACCCCTTGATATGATAGGCTGGTCCTAAGTCGGGAGTGTTCCAGTGCGTCAGTGATCTTTACCGCTGGTGTTGAGAAGATCGCAGGCGCACCAAAACATCAACGAAGAAGACTGAGGATCTGCTCTCGAATATTTCATTGTTAACCGAAACTAGCCTATATTTCAGTTCCCAGGACTTCTCCAAAAAATGTCACGATGGTAAACAACACGTACAAGAGCATTTTTATCACATGGGATGCTGTGCCAACGAATCAGACAAATGACGAAATTTTCGGATATGAAGTAGAATATTCGATAATAGAAGGAGGTCAACCGGCATGGGAGAAAAGAAAAGTGTTTAGTGTTCCCGACGTACATTTCAACCTTACAGGATTAATTGTGAACAGAAGGTACGAAATCAAAGTGCGGGCCTACAACCAGTGTGGGAATGGTCCGTCAAGTGAGGTCCTCTGGGTAAAAACGGACGAGAGAAGTAAGTAACATCTTTTCATATATCATATGATCCGCACTGCCCCGCACGTGCAATGCCGTAGATAACCATAGTGAAAGCTAGCGAGAGTAAGACGGGACATGTTGACGTGAGCCTGTTGGGAAAAAAACAACCATCCGGCCCCGCACCCACATAGCTCTTTTGCATTTTCCGAGAAAGAGGATTAAAATTGTGTAATTTTAAATAAAACAAATGATAAAGTGAGTTGCACTTCTCGGTGCATTCTGATTTCCTTGTTCTGCCTCGAAGATAAAAAATTGTTATGAACTACATTTGAAGTGTTCTGGCTACACGTTTGTGAATTTTTTATGTTTTTTAGAATATCTAGTAGTCTTTGCGCAAGTCTTGTGAGCCTTGTTTTGTCCTGCGATACAAGTGCACACATATAGTTCCGCTTTTAAGTGATTTGTCCTTGACTGCTATAATGGGGCTTAATGTCGGACAGTAATCGCCACCACTAGTCGTGTTTGAGTTCGTCTACCGACCTTACTTTAAGTCCTCAACTTGAGCTTTTGGTTAGGTTTTAGTTCTCGAAGATCGATTGTTTTCTTGGCTTGATGTATCGAGTACTTTGTTGTTCATTTCGAAAGTCTCGTGAAATTGTTCGAGATAGTCCTCTAGAGAGATGTTTAATCTACCAAAGTCAGTGTTCCCGCGAGCCCCCGCTTGCCTACCGACAGGATAGTAAAGAGCGTTTACTTAAGGCTAAATTAGGTATTGAGAAAAAAGCGGCGGTCGACCCGAATAAAAGTTCTTGATCAGACTCCTGATGCCTCCCGTTTGCGCGCTGTGTTCGAGCCAGTTTACCACAACAGTCCAACAAAATGTACAAGTTAACTCTAGATTATTTTGCTAGATTTCCAGTGGGCGCCCTTCTTCTGTGTGCAAGTTCCAGCACTAAATGGTCATATAACAAAATGCTTATTGACTGAGTTTTGTTAGACCAGACAAGGAAAATATGTGGCTCGAGGTAATGCCGTACGGACAGAGTGCACCTCGAGCCAAATATTTTCCTTCCCGGCCCTCCCGCTCACTCATTAAGTACATAAAATGTGGTTGGCTTCAGGGCCTAAGGTGGCGCCTCCAAATATTATCGCAGTGAGAGTGAATTCGTCCTGTGTACTGGTCTCCTGGGACAGGATACCTAATGGTAAACGACGGGGCTTGATACAGAAATACAGAGTAAATATTACATCAAAGATCCCCAACGAAACAACAAGTCGCGAAGTACAAGCGCCAACACAGTATCTGGAGATCGTTGGCATAAATGTGGACTCAAAATTTACCATTACTGTGGAGGCTGCGAATAGCAAAGGATTTGGACCAGTCAGTGAGCCTGTTAATATAACTGCTGTTCCGTAACAACATCCTTGGAACAATTTACGATACCAAACGTGATGATCTGTGAAATTTTTTTAATGTAGAGGATACAATAAAGGAATTATCGCCAATCGCAGTTATGCTCGATTTTTCTCCATTTCGTGTGTACGACTGTAAATAGTCTGATAAAAACCGCAGACTGTTACATAGGATAATTGTTAATAATCGTCAGCTTTGTAAAGTAATTATCACCATACAGTTACTTGTTGTGGGTAAACGTCCCGGAACAATTTTCGGTAGGTAAGAACGATTTTAAAATGATGTAATTAAGGCAAGAAATGTTGATAGCTCCTAGCGAGGTATGTATTATGCTGTAAATCAATTTTTATTAAAAAGAATAAAAGTCTTATGTCAAATGAAACACATTTACAAATTTAACAGGGTTAAATGAAGAGTTTAAGATGTAAGCCTTCATTTCAGTTCCTGGGACTCCGCCACAAAATGTCACTTTTGTGAACACTACCGCCAAAAACATATTCATCTCATGGGATGTCCTACCAACCAATCACACATATGGGGAAATTTTTAGCCTACGTGTAGTCGTGCCCTCTCGTGCCCTCCCTCCCCCCCCCTCCTACACGTACTCTAGGAAATTTTAGGACACAACGTTGAATACTCTGCCATCCTAGGAAGTCGATCTTCACAAGCAGAAAGAAAAGTAAATAGTGTTTCCTCGATTCATTTCAACCTTACAGGAAAAAAGTTCGAAATCAAAGTTTTGGCCTACGACCAGTGTGGGAATGGTCCGTCAAGTGAGGTCCTCCTTGCGTAAAAAGATTAGCAAAGTGAGTAATATATTAAATCGTTTCTTTCGAAGCTTCTCGATTGATTTCTGAACCAGAAAAATAGTTTTTGCTTCTCTGTAAACTGGAGGATTCTTTAGGTTACCTTATGTTTTCGTAGCCATGCTTGTTTGTTATGTCAAACAAACGTCGCAAACCGATGGTAATTAATAAAATGTATTTTGCCTCAGGTGCCACCAAATATTGCAACATAAAGGGTAAATTCATCCTTTATACTGGTCACCTGATGCAGAATACCATTTAATAGAGGATCGGATGTAATACAGAGATACAGAATAAATGTTACATCAGGAAACACGAAAAAAGCGAAAAGTCACGAAACCAAAGTCCAACAACGTATTTGGAGATAGTTGCCTTTCACGAGAACTCATAATTTACCATTACAATGAAGGCTGCAAATAGCAAAGGATTTTTAGCCTTTTAATATTTTTTCGCTATTCGGACTTACTATTCTATACATAGTAAAAGAGACTAGTAATATCCATGGGTCTTCACTCAGGAATACGTGCTTAAAATGGAAGTTTATTGTCACATTTAGTCATCTTATGCGCTTGGTTTTGTTTGTCTTAAGATATGTTTTAGTAATAGTCAGCTTGGCCACGTAAATAAGATCAGACATGTTGGTAAAGACAGATCCATGGTTGCGCTAAGATTGAAAAGTTAAGAATAATTATTTTCTTTCATTGATTCTTAAATGTTGCATTGGGTACACGAATTACAACGCTGTGTAACACACGACGATTTACATTTGGTAACTACTGCTACTGCTACACAAATAAAGAATTCCTCTTCGGACAGTACCCTGTAAATTCTAATCAAAGTCCATTCCTTTGATTGCACAATTCATGTCAGTGGTTACATTTGGGATGGTTTGGGTGGAATTCATTATCCTCTGATGTCACTAGTTGGAAGCACAATGGTCGGAAAAATATGGACTGTATTGCAGGCCTTTATTATCGGCGAGCGAGTGCTTACCATTCCGATTGAGTTTTGTAGCTACCATGTATAGTTATTTAGATCGGGGAAAGCCTGGAGCGAACAAACCACTTTATCCCCTTACACTTGTTTGTAATTCTTACCCCTCCCGCCTATTTTTCTCTTCGTTGTACACCTCTTTGAAGCGCGTCAGGTTTTTCTCGATCTTACAAACTCACTATGGCTGCCTCTGTCAACAATGTAATCAATCAGAACATTTATCACTCGCCCGCCAGAAAACATGCCCTCCTCGCGGGTTATGTGAAACACTAAATTTTACAACGCTGGCAAAATGCTCCTCTACTTCAAAGTCATATTAGAACTATCACTGAATTGCTCAAGTGATTATTTTGCTTTTCTTTTCATTCTGTTGGGAGTATAGGGCCAGGTGCTACTTAATCATCTAAATTATTGGGTCTTAGCGTCAGTCTTGTGTTATCCTTAGTGCGTGTTGTGGCTGTAGTTAACTCCTTTGAGCCCTGAACGCTTACTCCAGTGTGTTTGACATTCAAATCATCTTTGGACAACTGTCGATCGATTAAATGAAAAGGCTTTGTTCACTTGAGTTCAAGAAATACGTTTTATAATCACAGAGAAGTCATCTTCAGCCAATATACGAAATCGAAAGAAACCATTGCTGTTTTACTTAAAGTTTTGTCAAAAATTTTAATAGAAGAGACCGCTTGCGTTTTTATTTTAATTTTTCAGCGCTTTATTTTATTTTATTTGCCCTTCCTTTTGCTTTTCTTCTCAAATAGACAATGCACATCCCTAAACTACTGATATTAATTTTCGAATATTGTAATAGGGATTTTGAAAACTAAAAGACTGAATCACAAGGAAAGCAGAGACAAGAGCATACGGCATTGTGCCACCGCAATAACATGTGTCTTAGCTGGGATAAAATGTAAGTTTACTTTTAATGCCTCACATACATCTACGCATCCAAACTCAGGACTTTCATTTCCTATTGCAGTTTTCCTTCCCTGAAATTCTTTGTTGCTTCATCATAATAAAGGCGCCCAACTTTACCGCAATTGAAATGAACATGCAACCAATTAATACTTACCTTAATTTTTCTTATCTGTTGAAAAACAAAGCCGGATGAGTAGATAAGTACCTCATCTCTGTCGCACACGCATCCACTCAGGAAAAAACATTGAAACACTTTCTTTTGGAGTCTGATTAAGATTTAGTGGCACAGCGCTCAAGTGCAAGAAGTAAGCCAAGTTTATTGCAGGCAACTAATTAACATTTGGTCAAAGATTTCTCATCTAAGCTTGGTCACCCTTACTCACGCTTTCGTCACGCATTCAAATACTTGTCAAATACTCCACAACTACGATGTGAAAATCAATAAGCAAGACCTCGTTGTATTTCTAAACGAACACACGAGTGACCGCGAGTGACCACGAGTGACCACGAATGACAAAGAGTGACTACGAGTGACTGCGAGTAACTACGAGTGACCACGAATGTCCACGAGTGACCAGAACCCAAAATGACTACGCTTAATCACTAGTTCTAAGTCATTAAAATATTTGGCGACATCGTTCCCTCAAGAGAGAGGGTGGAAGAGAGAGGACCCGCGGAACGAGGTTGAATCTTGGCTGACATCATAATTTCGTCGTCAATACGTCTTTTCATCGAATAGTCATGATTCAACCATAAATAAAAATCATTTCCGCAGGCCGAAATATGTGAAAATTGTATCATTTCCTTCCTTTCCAAAGGGTAGATCCCCGACAGCAATTTCGCTGTCAAAAAAATATAACGTTGTTAATTCGTGCCCTCCCTCTCGAGTATCCCACTTCCCACTTTTCGGTCTCTCGTATCCCCTCTAGAATGAATGGAAGAAACGAAAGGAGGGAGGGGGCCAGGGGGAACCAAGAGAGAAAGGGAGCAGCATAAACAAAAAAAGGAAATAGAAAAGATTAAAGGCGCAATAAAGATATTTAGTCATTTGATCTTAGAAATGTATAACAAATAACAAATAGAGAAGCCCTAACTGTTCCATGTTTTGTTGTGAAACATTCAAGAAGTGGGGAGAAACACTCGACCACGTCTCGTGTTCCTCACTACACTTCTTTCGTGCTCTAACCGCATCCTGCGTTCTTTTCAACAATACAGAGCACAGTCAAGGCTTTTCTATTTGTTTTATTACAAAGAATCCTTTAAATTCCCCTCGCATTACTTTCAATTTTCAAAACAAACTCTATTTCCAATGCAAATCACAGAGTATTAATGTGGTTACAAGTGGTACCAAGTAGCTATGCATTTCATTCAACTTATCCTCACAGTTGATCATGAGACATAAAAAAATCATCTTCGCAGTGCATGAACGTAGGTTGAAGTTATCATATTTCAGGGGACAACTTTGTTGCCTGTTTATATGGAAGTGTTGGTCACTTTTTTGTGCTAAACTCCCGCAAAACCTTTATTCGTTCAAGCATTTTTCCACATCGCGGGTTCGAAGCGGGCAAATCGAGCCTAAACTGCTCGAACGGGTAGTCAATCAACCACAATATTCATTAAACCTTGCCCACTTGCGGGGTAAACCCTATGATATGGGAGTTTATGGATGTCAAAGCGGAAATCATGAGGTATGCGATCTGAGCAGACGCTATTTTGTCACGTCCGCAAGAATCAAGCTTTTCCAATGTTTTTGTTATCTCATCAGTGGGAATGAATTCCAGTGAAGGCGTTCGTAATTTATTTCCTATCGTAAAATATGGTCGGACTTGAAGTGCAAATGCGCTTTCGATAACAAAAGTTCGGCTTAAATTCTGAAAGAGGTAAAAGCAATTATTTATATGTGTCACTTGTCTTTGCGTTTGAGCAATTTTTTTTTAAAATAGAAAATTTGGAGATCACCTGCTTCGGTTTTTAAATGCAGAATTAAGCTAAAAAGATAGTAAGTACCTTACTTAAATTTTAATTTACGATACCCATATCTTTGCGGTCTATTAAGTTTCTGGAGACGAGAGTGAATTATTTGAAGGGGAATGAAAAATAATATTTAGAAGCGTTAAAACGTAAACAAAATGAGTTGACTTCAGAAAATAGACATTGGCCAATTAATTTGAGCTTTTAAGAGCTGTCACTTATGGTAATTCCCTAAATATCTGATGCTCTCTGTCATTAATAACGTGAGAAGAATATCATTCATATCGTCATGCTCAAATACTTGGTATTTCTCAAGTTGGTTTTGGTTTTTGTTCAGCACAAACTGATATTTGCAATTCAGCCCACCACAAAGAACAACCATGTTTTAGCCGGCCATGTTTTTCAAGCCTTTACTGCAACAGACTGGTTCAACTGTCTACAAACCTGCCATGATGATCCAAGATGCATCTCGTACAACTACCAGAGATCGGCAGAAGCCAACGGTCTGTGTGAATTGAATGACTGTGGAGTTGAAGACTTTTGCGACAGAGAAGGGTCTATCTTTTACTCCCCAGGATTTGTGTTTCAGCAGATAAGGACGAGTAAAGTGAGTGCTGTATTAAGTAAAACAAGGTTGTAATTCTGATGTAGTAGTCGACGTCATTTGTTGCAGTTCACAGCTCAAACTAGCTTTCATTTTAGCCAGCAAGTACAGTCACAGGTTTAATTTTATTTATTTTGAATTCAATTTTCTGTGAGGCAGCTAAAGCCAGGGACGTTACTGTTTGTTAGTCAAAATAATTTTACATTCTACGAAAGCTCATGGGATCATGGGTATCTCAAACACGAAACCTATTTTCCATCTACTTCGGTTTTTTCTACCAGAAATAAAGACTTCCTCTTTTAATTCTTCATTTTAGGAATGCAAACATGTTTGTCTTTCTGCTAATTTCCATGCACTTTTAATACGCTTCTTCTAAACAAAAATCCCCTTTATTTTCTCCAGGAAGCGTTTTAAATCTAAGACGTTTTATAGACACCCTTCCTTCTTCAATCTATCTATTAATTTCATTATTTGCTGGCTTAAGTTTTATTTGATCAGTTAAACCAATGTTTATATTACATAAAATTGCAGAGAAATACGTCCGCTCGGTGCTTTTGCTCTTGAGTTTTCTGTTTGAAAGTTTGCCTAAATTGTTTATCACTGCTGTCGGAAGCGTTAGCTAATAGAATATATCGGCTTTTTCACATGCCTTGTCTTAGTCATGTTAATTATCATTTGTTCAAACATGTTCAAACGATATCCAGGTGTCAATTTGCCTTGCCTTTGCGTTAAGCTCTAAATATTCTTATCCAATTTTGTGTATAGAAAAACCAGAATTTATTTTCAATTTTTTGTTTCGATATTCTCTGAAGAAGTTTTTTTTTTACAAAGCTGATAAACAAAGACTTTTTAGCGAACATATTCTTGTCAATCATCTGGATATTTTTTTAAAATTACCATTACTGAAGGCTCAGTCAGACGCTAAGCTAAATCATTTGAAGAGGAGCCGCATATATTGGAGATTACTCAAAAAGTTATTTGCATAATTATCGGCTTGAAATTAAACATTGGTTATTAAAACGTAGTTTTGTACAAACGTTTATTTGAAAAGCTTTATCTCACCTATGTCTAATTTTCGATGTTCTTTTAATCTAAAACTTATATCCCGCAGACTGACGAGTGTGCCGCTTCACAGAAGGAAAACATCTGCGCATTGAATGACTCAGGTGACCAATTTAATTCTCTTAAAAACTCGCCATGCAATTTACATAATTGAAGGCTAGAAAAATAGTGAGTTGTTGGTTAATTACTGCTAAAAGCTAGTTTTAACTTTATGTTTGATCTGATTAAACCAGCCTCATTTTCCAGACCTATTACGAATCCGAAGCAAACGGTTTTTGAAGACTGACACCCTCATTACCTTGTCGGAAATATGACCGCAGCGCATAAAGGGAAGGCTGTGTAAAAACACCGTCAATTATGAAATAGCTTAAAAACTACGGGCGCCCTGATTGGTCAAAATATATCGCTCCGATAAACTCATAGACAATTAAAAATTTTCTCATTTTTGTTAAAGCAATAAATCGCTCTTTCTATCGGTTGCCGGCCAAATAAACCACTTGCAAAGTTAGAAGACTACGTGGTAAGTTTGTAGGATAGTTGGGCCGCTACTATCAACTAAACACCAAAGCCACACAAATGAAGCAAGACAAATTTTAGCATCCAACTAGAACCTGAGAGGTGCGGGTTTGAATTCCGTTGAAACCTGTATTTTTGCAGGCTTTTTTTCTAACAGATTTTTTTAGTATCCAGCTCAGCTGCGAAGATCAATTTTTACACTTGATAGTAATTTACTTTAGACTTTAGAAATTATAATGCTAATAGAACTATGTCTCCATTTCAGTTCCCACGATTCCGCCTCAAAATGTTAAAGAGGTGAACAAGACGATAACCAGTCTTTTCATCACGTGGGATGTTGTACCAACCAATCAGAATCTCGAACTGATCCCAGAATATAAAGTGATTTACTCCTTAAAGTCCGGTAAGAAGGACATTCATGGGAGTGAGGTTACAGCTTCCACGGTTTATATCAACCTTACAGGGTTAAAAATACACAGAAAGTACAACATAACAGTGTTAGCATTCAATCAATGTGGGGATGGTCCTTCCAGCGCGATGCTTTCAGCAAAGACAGACGAAGACAGTAAGTTTTAACATGATGTTTTACATTGTATCAATCTCTGTTGCTGTTCGCTATCTAACTGCATACCTACCCCCAAGCTACCTGCCTACCATCCTTTCTATCTAAATGTTTACCCCTTCTTTTCTCTGCTTTCTGCAAATGTACTTTCGAAACAAGCGTTGCAGGAGGAGGATAGCTCTGACTGAAGAGCTGCGTTCCATCACATAATCAGAAGTTGAACCTAACTACCGACCTCCCCACCTATCTACCTACCTAACCATTCCTTCTCTACCTACCTTCTTATCTATTCATTTACTTTCCTTCCTGTCGCATCTTAGCTACCTACCAACCTATCTACGTCTCCATGTTCCTACCGACTCACCTGCCTCCCTGCTTACCCACCTATGGTCGCCTACCCACCTACTGTCCCTCTCTGCTTCCTTCCCACCCCCACCCCCACCCACTTATATACCCACTCCCCCATCTAATCGTCCGCCTATGTACCCACCAACCTTCCTATCTAACGACTGGCCCACCTTTCTAAGTAAGTACTTAACACCGACTTCCATGCTCACAAACCGGCAACCTACCTACTCACCAGTGAATAAAGGAGGCAAGTTCCTGAAGAAACTGTGGTGCTGCGTCTGTGGGAGAGTATAACATGGTAATTTAGTATTATCAACTGAGTTGATAACGTAAATTAGCCACCGTAAAGAGTTTCAAAGCTGGCGTTTCGAGCGCTAACCCTTCGTCAGAGCGAATGACGATAATACTTAAGTATTACCAGCCAATGTACCAATCTACCTACATAGCCATTACTTACCGCTTGCCTGCTCACCTGCTTACTTTCTGAACTGATCAATTGCGTTACATTCTGATGCCTCTATTTCTATACATTTAAGGACCCAAAGCAGCACCCCAAAATTTATCAGCCGAGAGAAAGAACTCAACAAGCATATTGGTCAGTTGGGATAGAGTACCAAATGGTAAACGAGATGGGACAATCATAAGTTACAGGGTGAATTATACCCGATCAAAGGAGGGAGCAGAAAGAATGAGTAAAGAAGTAGACAAAGCAAAGCGGTTACTCTTGTTGACAAACTTAGAGGCGGATTCAGAATACGCAATAACAGTGTCGGCGTCAACTAGTAAAGGGTACGGACCGGCCAGTGAACCTGTTAAGGTGAATGGAACATAAGTACCGCTAGTTTCAATTCCAGTATCAGTGTACCTTTGGAGATATTTAAAAGATGATCAGTTCATTTATAAACCCTACCGCCAAAATTTTCTTAGATAAAGCGTCGATTGCTGAGTTTTTAATGTTTCGTATCACAAACATAAAAATAAAGGAGACTGATGTCTCAATTTAAGCTATAGAAGTTTAAAGTAGTAATGTTTTAATAAACTTAAGATATCAAAATTCGCGTTTTATACTTTTTGGGCAATTTCTGGTTTATAAAGAGTATTTCTGCGTTGTATTCTTACAATTGTGTTAGGCCTTTTCGGGTCATTGTGTTGGGTATCTCACGTAATCAGTTCCTGGTTTATAATTTAGAACACACAGATGTCTGGTTAATAATTAATCGCTTTAACCCTTTAACTCCCAGAAGTGATTAACATGGAACTTCTCCTTATCATATCCAAACATTATCCTGCAAACAGGTTCTAAGAAAACTAAAATTAATCAGGTAGAAGTTGTTATCTTGATCTAACACTAAATTATCACAACTTATTTACAAAGAAGTGTGTAGCAGCCAGAGAGGAGAATTAACAATCAGATCTTTGGAGTTAAAGGATTAATGTTTACTAAGGTCTACCAATAAACTGGGTAATTTCCGCTGTACAACACCCTCGCGTCAGAAATTAATCTGTAAGTCAAAAGAAATTTAATAAAGAAGAAAAAAATTCAAATGCCTAACCAATATACTCATTAAGAATGATATACCATGAAATAAGTTTTATCAAAAAGCGATATGCAATATAGATCGTTTTAATAAAAACCGTACACGGTGACAAAACGTAGCCATTAACCGGTCAGAAGCTATTGTTAAACAGTCGTCAGTTTTGAAAACTTTGCACAAGCAATTATCAAAATACATCAATCGTTTTCTGAGGCATTTCTCGAAAAATAGGTCACATTAAAAGGAATGATTTAATTAAGACAAGAAATATTAAAGCTTAGTTGTTGTGTGGGTTACGTGTTATGCTGTGAACTATATTCATCAAAATAATTAAAGTTCTTTGTCAAATGAAGCTCATCGATAAACAAGTCAGAGTTTGAATAATGGCAGGTGAAGACATTGATGAAATTGCAGAAAAAATTCGGGCCCGATTTGTCAATCATTCTCGAGTTTAACGAACATTAGAGCAAACTGCAACTTTGTCCAGAGTTCAATCGCTTCCTTCGTGAGGGCAGAACCCCGTCTTCTCTTCATGTTTGGAATCATGCTGTTCTTAAAAAACCTTGTTTATCTTAACGTTTTCCTGGTATTTTTAACATGTCCACCATTACGAAAATTACATCTAGTCACAGAAAATAACCGCGTATCAAACGTCGGTCATGTTTTCAAACAGTTTCACGGCACAGACTGGTTCAACTGTCTTCAAGCTTGTCACGATGAACCAAGTTGCGTCTCGTACAGCTACCAGAGGTCTGAAAACGCTAACGGTCTGTGTGAATTGAATGATTGTGGATTTGAAGACTTGTGCAACAGAGATAAGTTCCTTACTTACTCGAAGGGCTTCGTTTTCCAGCAGATAAAAACAATTATAAAGAAGGTAAGTAATGTGATCGATAAAACAAAGTTAGTTCCATGTCAAGTAATAAAAGGCATTTAAGGAAGTTGTCACTTCTCCGATCAGTTTAGATTCATTATTTCTAACCCTACCATCTACTTCAATTTGATGAGAACATTTCCCTTGATCCCCGATTTTATTCATTTATTCATGATTGATAGATTTTTAAATTTATTCTACCATTTTGATATTATTAGAAGAAAGCAAACTTAGCGTTTTATAGGATGTTCAGCATTGGCATCATAAACAAACACTACTTAATATATAAAGTGTTCGGATAAGACTTAATGTGAATGAGGTAACAAATCCGCAAATCAAGGACAGCTTTCAGAGATAACCTTTTAGATACTGGGAAATTTGATGGTTACCTTCCATCCCTTTCTTTCATTATTTATGATCAATGATTCAACTTTCAATAACTGAGGTGCTTGCATCTTTATTTGACTTGTGAAGCAGGCTTTTTGCCGATTTGTTGGCATACTTTTATGGGATTGATTTAGCAAACCGAGCTTACTCCTTTGCTTTTATCTTAATGTTAGCACTGCCTGCATAATCTGAATTTGTGATCTTCACAAAATGAGAAAATAACGTTATTTCGCTCTGAATTCACTTCGAGCATCTGCTGTGGCAGTTAAGATTATTCAGCAGCAGTCAAGGCATTTTCGTAGAACATTTCCGTCCTCCGTAAATTATCAAAAAATTATGGATTTGTATTCCGAAATCTCTCTTTTCTGTTCATCATCACCATTATCACAATTATATAATTATGTACTCGCTATACGCCTTTTAGGTTAACGGGTGTTTACCTTCCCACGGTAAAAACAGTTGCATTTCGGATAGATCAGGTAAGCTCTTTAATTTTCTTCTAAACTTTCCGGGCAAATTATGAGAGCAAAATTTGAAGTTTCCCAGTAAAAATAATAATTCCATGACAATATTACCTTGGGTGACAATTTGTTTAGATAAAAAATAACGTAATGAATATGAATGCTTTTGTGATGAGTGTGTTTTTCTTTCAGTAACAGCTAAAATCTTATCCAGAGACTTATTAAGAAATTGTTTATCATCAACTTTATACAAACTTGTGGCTTCTAGTCATGAAGACATGTGAATGTTAATTGTTGATGTTATATTTGTAGACTGATACTTCTACGGTATGCAGGGATGCAAATGTCATTATATGTTTCGCACTGATTTTTCGGAAGAAAACATCGGAACTAATATTGTCTCTAAGTGAGCGTTTGCAGGTGGAACTCATCTTTTTAGGATATCATCAATTTTTTTGGGGGGTTACTTTAACAAATATATCCTCATTAAGAAAACAGGATAACCCTTTATTTCAAATAGGCCCATCAGATCGTGCCTAAACTTAAGACCCGCCCGAATTCGATAAGCTGCCATAAATTTAGCAAGTGTAATGTTTCTGACCCCTTGATATGATAGGCTGGTCCTAAGTCGGGAGTGTTCCAGTGCGTCAGTGATCTTTACCGCTGGTGTTGAGAAGATCGCAGACGCACCAAAACATCAACGAAGAAGAAAAAGACTGAGGATCTGCTCTCGAATATTTCATTGTTAACCGAAACTAGCCTACATTTCAGTTCCCAGGACTTCTCCAAAAAATGTCACGATGGTAAACAAAACGTACAAGAGCATTTTTATCACATGGGATGCTGTGCCAACGAATCAGACAAATGACGAAATTTTCGGATATGAAGTAGAATATTCGATAATAGAAGGAGGTCAACCGGCATGGGAGAAAAGAAAAGTGTTTAGTGTTCCCGACGTACATTTCAACCTTACAGGATTAATTGTGAACAGAAGGTACGAAATCAAAGTGCGGGCCTACAACCAGTGTGGGAATGGTCCGTCAAGTGAGGTCCTCTGGGTAAAAACAGACGAGAGAAGTAAGTAACATCTTTTCATATATCATATGATCCGCACTGCCCCGCACGTGCAATGCCGTAGATAACCATAGTGAAAGCTAGCGAGTGTAAGGCGGGACGTGTTGACGTGAGCCTGTTGGGAAAATAAACCATCCGGCCCCGCACCCACATAGCTCTTTTGCATTTTCCGAGAAAGAGGATTAAAATTGTGTAATTTTAAATAAAACAAATGATAAAGTGAGTTGCACTTCACGGTGCATTCTGATTTCCTTGTTCTGCCTCGAAGATAAAAAATTGTTATGAACTACATTTGAAGTGTTCTGGCTACACGTTTGTGAATTTTTTATGTTTTTTAGAATATCTTGTAGTCTTTGCGCAAGTCTTGTGAGCCTTGTTTTGTCCTGCGATACAAGTGCACACATATAGTTCCGCTTTTAAGTGATTTGTCCTTGACTGCTATAATGGGGCTTAATGTCGGACAGTAATCGCCACCACTAGTCGTGTTTGAGTTCGTCTACCGACCTTACTTTAAGTCCTCAACTTGAGCTTTTGGTTAGGTTTTAGTTCTCGAAGATCGATTGTTTTCTTGGCTTGATGTATCGAGTACTTTGTTGTTCATTTCGAAAGTCTAGTGAAATTGCTTGAGATAGTCCTCTAGAGAGATGTTTAATCTACCAAAGTCAGTGTTCCCGCAAGCCCCCACTTGCCTACCGACAGGATAGTAAAGAGCGTTTACTTAAGGCTAAATTAGGTATTGAGAAAAAAGCGGCGGTCGACCCGAATAAAAGTTCTTGATCAGACTCCTGATGCCTCTCGTTTGCGCGCTGTGTTCGAGCCAGTTTACCACAACAGTCCAACAAAATATACAAGTTAGCTCTAGATTATTTTGCTAGATTTTCAATTGGCGCCCTTCTGTGTGCGAGTTCCAGCACTAAATGGTCATATAACAAAATGCTTATTGACTGAGTTTTGTTAGACCAGACCAGAAAAATATGTGGCTCGAGGTAATGCCGTACGGACAGAGTTCACCTCGAGCCAAATATTTTCCTTCCCGGCCCTCCCGCTCACTCATTAAGTACATAAAATGTGGTTGGCTTCAGGGCCTAAGGTGGCGCCTCCAAATATTAGCGCAGTGAGAGTGAATTCGTCCTGTGTACTGGTCTCCTGGGAAAGGATACCCGATGGTAAACGACGGGGCTTGATACAGAAATACAGAGTAAATATTACATCAAAGATCCCCAACGAAACAACAAGTCGCGAAGTACAAGCGCCAACACAGTATCTGGAGATCGTTGGCATAAATGTGGACTCAAAATTTACCATTACTGTGGAGGCTGCAAATAGCAAAGGATTTGGACCAGTCAGTGAGCCTGTTAATATAACTGCTGTTCCGTAACAACATCCTTGGAACAATTTACGATACCAAACGTGATGATCTGTGAAATTTTTTTAATGTACAGGGTACAATAAAGGAATTATCGCCAATCGCAGTTATGGTCGATTTTTCTCCATTTCGCGTGTACGTCTGTAAATGGTCTGATAAAAACCGTAGACTGTTACATAGGATAATTGTTAATAATCGTCAGCTTTGTAAAAAATTGCAAAAGTAATTATCACCATACAGTTACTTGTTGTGGGTAAACGTCCCGGAACAATTTTCGGTGGAAAGGTAAGAACTATTTAAAAGATGATGTAATTAAGGCAAGAAATGCTGATGTTTAGTTCTTAAGCGAGGTATGTATTACGCTGTAAATCAATTTTTATTAAAAACAATAAAAGTCTTATGTCAAATGAAACACATTTACAAGTTTGACAGGGTTAAATGAAGAGTTTAAGATGTAAGCCTTCATTCCAGTTCCTGGGACTCCGCCACAAAATGTCACCTTTGTGAACAATACCGCCAAAAGCATATTCATCTCATGGGATGTCCTACCAACCAATCACACATATGAGGAAATTTTTAGCCTACGTGTAACCGTGCCCTCCCTCCCCCCCCCCCCCCCCCCCCCCCCCATACGTACTGTAGGAAATTTTAGGACACAACGTTGAATACTCTGCCATCGTAGGAAGTCGATCTCCACAAGCAGAAAGAAAAATAAATAGTGTTTCCTCGGTTCATTTTAACCTTACAGGATTAGTTGTGGAAAAAAGTTCGAAATCAAAGTTTTGGCCTACGACCAGTGTGGGAATGGTCCGTCAAGTGAGGTCCTCCTTGCGTAAAAAGATTAGCAAAGTGAGTAATATATTAAATCGTTTCTTTCGAAGCTTCTCGAATGATTTCTGAACCAGAAAAATAGTTTTTGCTTCTCTGTAAACTGGAGGATTCTTTAGGTTACCTTATGTTTTCGTAGCCATGCTTGTTTATTATGTCAAACAAACGTCGCAAACTGACGGTAGTTAATAAAATGTATTTTGCCTCAGGTGCCTAAGATGCCACCAAATATTGCAACATAAAGGGTAAATTTATCCTTTATACTGGTCACCTGATGCAGAATACCATTTAATAGAGGATCGGATGTAATACAGAGATACAGAATAAATGTTACATCAGGAAACACGAAAAAAGCGAAAAGCCACGAAACCAAAGTCAAACAACGTATTTGGAGATAGTTGCCTTCATGAGAACTCATAATTTACCATTACAATGAAGGCTACAAATAGCAAAGGATTTTTAGCCTTTTAATATTTTTTCGCTATTCGGACTTACTATTCTATACATAGTAAAAGAAACGAGTAATATCCATGGGTCTTCACTCAGGAATACGTGCTTAAAATGGAAGTTTATTGTCACATTTACTCATCTTATGCGCTTGGTTTTGTTTGTCTTAAGGTATGTTTTAGTAATAGTCAGCTTAGTCACGTAAATAAGATCAGACATGTTGGTAAAGACAGATCCATGGTTGCGCTAAGATTGAAAAGTTAAGAATAATTATTTTCTTTCATTGATTCTTAAATGTTGCATTGGGTACACGAATTACAACACTGTGTAACACACGACGATTTACATTTGGTAACTACTGCTACTGCTACACAAATAAAGAATTCCTCTTCGGACAGTACCCTGTAAATTCTAATCAAAGTCCGTTCCTTTGATTGCACAATTCATGTCAGTGGTTACATTTGGGATTGTTTGGGTGGAATTCATTATCCTCTGATGTCACTAGTTAGAGGCACAATAGTCGGAAAATACAGACTGTATTTTAGGCCTTTATTATCGGCGAGCGAGTGCCGCCTATTTCTCTCTTCGTTGTACACCTCTTTGAAGCGCGTCAGGTTTTTCTCGATCTTACAAACTCACTATGGCTGCCTCTGTCAACAATATAATCAGTCAGAACATTTGTCACTCGCCCGCCAGAAAACATGCCCTCCTCGCGGGTTATGTGAAACACTAAATTTTACAACGCTGGCAAATGCTCCTCTACTTCAAAGTGATATTGGAATTATCACTGAATTACTCAGGTGATTATTTTGCTTTTCTTTTCATTCTGTTGGGAGTATAGGGCCAGGTGCTACTTAATCATCCAAATTAATGGGCTTTAGCGTCAGGAGTCCTGTGTTATCCTTAGTGCGTGTTGTGGCTGTAGTTAACTCCTTTGACTCCGGAACGCTTAATCCAGTGTGTTGGACATTCAAATCATCTTTGGACAACTGTCGATCGATTAAATGAAAAGGCTTTGTTCACTTGAGTTCAAGAAATACGTTTTATAATCACAGAGAAGTCATCTTCAGCCAATATACGAAATCGAAAGAAACCATTGCTGTTTTACTTAAAGTTTTGTCAAAAATTTTAAGAAGAGACCGCTTGCGTTTTTATTTTTAATTTTTCAGCGTTTTATTTGATTTTATTTGATTTTATTTGCCCTTCCTTTTGCTTTTCTTCTCAAATAGACAATGCACATCCCTAACCTACTGATATTAATTTTCGAATAGTGTGATATGGATTTGGAAAACTAAAAGACTGAATCACAAGGAAAGCGGAGGCAAGAGCATACGGCATTGTGACACCGCAATAACATGTGTCCTAGCTGGGATAAAATGTAAGTTTACTTTTTATGCCTCTCATACATCTACGCATCCAAACTCAGGCCTTTCATTTCCTATTGCAGTTTTCCTTCCCTAAAATTCTTTGTTGCTTCATCATAATAAAGGCGCCCAACTTTACCGCAATTGAAATGAACATGCAACCAATAAATACTTACCTTAATTTTTCTTATCTGTTGAAAAACAAAGCCGGATGAGTAGATAAGTACCTCATCTCTGTCGCACAAGTCCTCAAATCCACTGTCATTCAATTCACACACACCATTTTCAGCCCCTAATCTTTGGTAGTTGTACGAGATACATTTTGGTTCGTCATAACAAGCCTGAATACAGTTCAACCAGTTTGTGGCGTATAGCTCCTTGAAAGAATGACCGGCTAAAACGCGGTTGTGGTCTGTGACAAGGTAGTTCGCCGAAATTATTTGCTGCATTAAAGCAACGTAAAAATTCAAATATATCCAGTTGGTAAACATCGTCCACTGACAGTGGTAAACAATATTTTTTAACCGAGAATGGTCGATGGAGACTAATTAGTTGTATGTAATTTGACCGATGTAACAATTTAACTGAATGCGCATACAAATCGAATGCTAAGTAGCTTTTATCTTTTTCTCCTTTATTAAGTGCATCCGGTGAATATACAGGTGTAGTTTCCAGCTCTTCCACATAATTAGATTGCCTTTCTCTTGATATAAACAATCAAATGACTTTTCTTCTATCATTTTACGGGAAATTTTTTGTTCTTAAAAAATGAGGAATTCAAGTGATCTTTTGATTTCTTTTTCACTTGTCGAAACTTTCAATCCAATCTTTCTCGCACGATAGACCTTTTAAAGCAATCAGGGCGCACGTCCTTTGATATTGCACATCAAGATGGAAGCGATAGCTTGATAATTAAAATTGGCGTTAACAGCAGTCTAAGGTACGAGTAAGCAAGGATGGGTATTGAGCAACGACTAGCTACCCCTTGTGGCAAAAACTAAGTTGCATGCAAAAAGAAAAACCACCATTGGTTTTCCCCTTTAGAAATTTTAAAAATGTGTTATAGAAAAAGAGAAAACGTTACTTATCGGAGGAGGGGATGGTTGGAATGCCATACGTGAGTGTACCATATTTATGAGAGTTGACAACAGTTTAATAGTACAGTCTACTTTTAATGATCCCGCTTAGACAATAATTAGCCGCTGTACATCAGCACTGCACGTTTTGCGGCCAATCACACACTTTTGTTTTTGGGTTAAACAGAAGACCTCCTGGACACGACTGGTTAAACTGTCGACCACCAAAACATTGGATGTACTTGGAGCAATCACTGGGGTCTGGGTAAATACCGTCACCAGCGCTCTCACAGGAGAACGGACCTGCGTTTAAAGATCGAGAAAAAAATAGAAGGGAAGAGTATTTTTATAGATTGATGCAAACATAAAAATAAACCACACCAGGAACAGTGATCCCATGTAAACTTAAGTGTGGCTGATTATCAACTGTTTCCAGAAGGATCGAGGATCATCTCCGCAAGGGGAACCGGGAGTATAAATGGTGTCCGTATTGAAAAGATTTTTAAAAATAGTTTATCCATCTTAACAATTTAGATAGAATTTATTAAATTTATCATTCTTATTTTCAATCCCTATCAATCTATCTTATTCTTAACCATTCTCTATAATCCTAAGATCAGGGTTATTCCAAGATATTATTTTATCTAGAGGTATTTCTGTATACACCTAAATCTACCCATAACATTATGACAGAGCCCCTTTAATTTGTAAGAAACTATGGAGGTAGGAGCCAGATTCAAGGTTCCACGCCGTACCCATGTTTAGAAGCTGCCCTTCAAGAAAAAGTTAACATAAACTAGGTTACAAAAAAAGGCAAATTACCAGTCGGTGGGGGAGGTGCTTGAGTTGTTACTGGCGGGGGAGGAGGAGGGGCCTGAGTACTGACTGGCGGAGGAGGAGGAGCCTGTGTACTAACTGGCGGAGGAGGTGCCGGAGTTGTTACTGGAGGCACGATAGCGCCGTCAAGCTCCTTAAAAGCATACTCAGAGTATCGTTGTCCGCTGATGACATTGTTTTGATCCCAGGATACGTCCCAGAGCATTATTCCACCGATGCCTGGCAGATTTTTGACGGCCTGTGAAAGATATAAAGCTGTTAGACGATCAAGGAATATTTGGAAGCTATGACATTTATTCATTTTGTCTTTACACATGCGCGTCAGTTTCATTTGCCGCGGTCATGAAATAAAAGAAACACAGAAATCTGAGGCACGAAAATTGCGGGTGACGTGGGTTGCTTTACTAATTTTGCATTTGATTGATTGAGAGGGTGGCGCAATTTTTCTAGACCAAACACATGGCGTACGTTTGCATTGTTTTACTCTTGATAAAAAAGCAAGTTTACGTACCTGATACATCTTCGTCAGCTCAGCTGGTGGTCTGTAAAAATGTGCACCACTGGCGCCCTTTGTGGCCGCAGGGAGACCGATAAAAATCAAGGGTCCCTGCGGGGTCTTACCACTAGCAAACTTTAGCCATTTATTCAGAGTGTCAGTGAACCAGTCACCAGCCCCGGTGTGACAGTAATTGTTGTAGAACTGAATGTAAAGATGGTCCACGAGATGACCGGCTTCCTCCAGGCCTTACACAGAATTTCGTTAGAAAAATTAGATCCTCCATGGTGCATGTAGTTCGTAATTATTTATATTGTTGATTGAAATGCTGGTTTTCTCAGGTTCTAACGTACAATACCCTTGAACTTTTTCCAGTGGAAACTTATTTCTTTAAACTGGTTGATAAAAATTTTTAAAGTGTGACTTTGGAATCAAGAGAAAGTGCTCTAAGCTGATTTGAAATTTTGTTCTTCCAAAACTAAGATATCAAGTCTAGGGCATTAGCGCCAAGGGCAGCTATTTTTTGGGTCAGCCTTAAAGCACAAATTAAGTGGACGGTAGTGGCCGGTGTTTTGGACCAAAAAAAGCAAAAACTTAAACCACTGCATGAACATTTATGCTGGCTTTAACAAGCTTCATTGGTATTGACCACCTCTGGAATGTGATAGTGATGAAAAAACAATGCAACGCCTTTCTGACTTTAAACGTTAAGTGCATGCAACACCTGCTACATACCAGTTCCCGGCCCAGGTCCTAGGAAGTGGTCGGGATATGGGCACTGAGGCGCGCCTGTGATCAGATAACCCTTTGATTGGTCGTTGTCCATGAGCGTTCGCAATTCCTGAATAAACTCCCCGTAGTGTTTCTTGTCTCCTCCCTCGATGTCAAGATCAATACCGTCCATGACAGCACTAGGAAAACATTATTTAAAGTTTTGAAGCTCTTAGAACCTGATCACGCTAACTCGCTGCTTTTCATTAATAGCAAGGCTAACTTAATTTTTGATAAAATCAATAAGGTGTGGTCTTTTTTTTGTGGTCTAGAGTTGGCTTGAGCCAATTTGCGACTTATTTTGCCCCGTTCATAGAACGAACCGTTAATGTTGAATTAATGAACATATTTATTAGAAAGTCAGTCTTTACGAATTAAAGTTTTTACGCCTTTGACCCTTTCACATCAAAAATTGATCAATAGCTTATTTCTCCTTACAATAATCGCACAAAAATAGGCAGAAAGTTAATGAGAATAAAAAGAATATCAATTTGGGGAAATCACTTTGTCCGATGCTAGATTCTCAGAACTAGCATAAAAAATATGGCAGAGATAATTACTCTTAAGATCTTGAGAGTGGGACTAGTGGCCCAATACTGTTCGAAACTATCACGGTATCTCAGCACAAAGCAACGGTTTACTTTTACATAGCTGATAACCCACTAGAAATGCATTTAACTACCCATCATTACAATTGGCTCAAGGGAAAGGCGGTGAGATTAGAGCGTTTTGCCCAAGAACACAGTACAACAACGCAAAAGCTTCTCGAACCCGAATCTCGCGAAACGGATTCCAGCAGGCTAGCTTCCTACTCACCGCTATTCCCTGAGATATGCCTAAAACAATTTCTGCTCTACGTTGCCTTGTTCAAATAAATTGCAGATACCTTCCAAAAGGTCTCAAATCTTGGTAGCGATTTCCCACAGCTAAGAACAAATCGGACAGAGTTCTGGCAAGTTCTCTGGCCTTGTAAGCGGAGGGTAGAGTTCCATCACCTGTGGCACCACCTATAGACATCAAGACCTTCTTTCCTCTTTTCTGACATTCTAATATCCCTTCTTCTATTTTTGGACATCTCAACAGGAAAGGATACTCTGGAGAAACAGATGTCTCGCAGTGATAAGCAAAGTTCAGCGCTGGAAGACCTAAAGGACGAAAAGAGCGTATATAAGAAATATATGCGTGTTTCAATATATATTGAGGACTTTTTCGTCTCCAGCATTTGTAGTGTTGAATTCTAAATTCTGCTGGGGTAATCAGAATTTCTCTTCCTAACAAAAGCCTCCTATTCTTTTGGTGACTGAGAAGTAGTCCTGGCTTGGTATAGTTTACAGTTCTTTGATAGTTGATTGACATTAAGGCTTAGTAAAGGACAGAACATATTTCTGACAGATTTAGGTCCATTATGTTATTGGTACAGAGCGTGGCAAGAGATTCATAACTTAAGCTTAGAATAACAAAGGCAATTGAATGTTCGAATACATTCTACTTCTCAGTTTAAATTTGCTTTATTACAGGTTAACTCAAGAAAACACTTTCTTACCTTTGTTTCTTGGGTCAAAGAAGACAATGACAAAAGACACAGCCAAGATGTCGTATTTTGTTGTCCTGCACACTTCAAGCAGCGACTTTTCGTAGTTTGCTGGGCCATTTGCGGGTCCTGCTCCGTTTTGTCCCCAGTATCCTACGAGCAGCTGGCGGCCGGCGTACGTCGAGCGAGGGACTATTAATGAAATCAATTGGAGTTAAATGATGAGAGGAGTTGAAAGAAATTCTCCTTAAATGACAAGAAATGAAATTTTGAAGAGCTTTAAACGGTCATTCAAAGGCTCTTCGATATTTTTTGAAATTAATAGCTACAATCTGTAAGTGTTTACCAACGCCTTGAGACGAAATGCTTGGGGAGCCTACCTTTTTGCGCCATACACCAAGAAAAAATGAAAATAATTTTAGGTATTTCTTGGTTGTGTTTAAACTCTCTATTGTATTAGGAGTGGATATTGTTTTGCGCCTCCTTAATCATTTGCCTTTGCTGAAGCTGTTTGATAATCGTCAGGAAAGTTTCTTTAGGCGATCGAACCATCTACAACTCAAAGGAACTACCAGTGAATAAACTACCAATTCCATGTGAAGAAATCGAGGAGGAGAGTTGTGCAACCTAGCTACAAGGGTAAAAGAGATGTACACAAAATCTTTTAAAAAGCCAAAGAATCAAATCGAAAGTTGTTAAGGTCCCTATCAATTACCTCTAAGTGTCCAAACTATTTCAAAGGTGAAAAGGAAAACCGCAATTAACGAAAAAAGGTTACTCATCCTTGCTGACAAATAGCTGTTTCAATGATGAAGTATCTAACAAGAATCGAAGCTTATATCTGGCTCTGTTTTCTGTAGTGTCTGCCAAGAGCTAACTCACGTTGCCATTCAAAAAGAGCAAGCTGCACAAACTATGGCTGTTGTGTTTACCTAGTAAAATATACAAACTCAGGTCGCATTGTCACAGCAAGATGCAAATCTTCTATTACCTCAAAAGATACCACAAGAGAAAAGTATGGCGAAGAAAATCAAACTAAATTGCGACCACAAGTTTTAAAATCTTATGGTTTCGCATACGAGAAGTTGCGCTTATTCAGCTTTGAGAGATAAAATAGGGTTCCTGAAGGAGTGTAGGAGACTTAGGTGAAAAGCAAATACGTATACGGGAGGGAGAGTCTGAATAAATACAAACAGGTGGTGGCCATATGGCGATACTTTCACTCAGCATTCAAGTTGACTAGTTCTGACTGAAGGTAAACAGAACTTTTGAAGACAGATTTATACAGAGCTTCAGCTGTGTAACTTTTGCAAAAGTGTGCTTAGCTTGTTTCCTTGTTTCCTCTAAACCTCTCTCTTATCTATGAATTGCAGGACTATCATCTAGACGTGCTCTAATACAGACAAAGCTTCAGTTTATGGTAGAATTACAAGAGTGGGTATACTTTAAAAGATCTAGCATCGGCACGGCTTTCATATAAACATAGGCCCATAGTCGAAGGCTTTACAAGGAGCTGAGGAGGAGGGATATTTCAAAACGAATTTAATTTGGTTGAACTTAGAATTTACAATCGAGTGCAAAAAGCGTTTTTAACCCAGAAAGCTTTAACCATGAATGAGAGGTTTAAGGTTTCACTTTATTGTCCACTCCAGACACAGGTTTTTCAGGGAACAATACGATAAACAAATATCATAGACAGAATAAAATATATGTGTTCATCGAATAAATGTATCATGTATGAAACTATATGTTACAACAAGTCTTGTTTTAAAAACTTGTTAAACATCTTTGTTTCTAAATTTTATCTAAAGTTTGCAGGACCTTTACAAAGTTTTAAATCTTTGTCTTATGAATTTCACAAGTTTACTCTCCTATAATTGAATAATCTCTGGCCAGCAGAGGAAGGCCTCGTGTGTGTACATGTAAGCGTGGTAAATTTCATTTTTCTCAGTACTATGCCTTCTCTCTACGGATGATAACCAGACTGAAAGATACGAAAGATTTTAGAAGATTTGTCATAACGATTCAGAAAAATAAGTCGGTGGCTATGTTAATAAAGTTATAGAGTCCTCTAATGGAGAGACTTTTACGTAATGGAATGGGAAAAAAAGGGGGGGGGGGGGGGTGGGGTGAGCCGGATGGTGGAAATGTGCCTTATGACTGTGATTTTGCAGCATGGTCAAATCACTATCAAGAAAATTAAGGTAAACCTCGATATATGTGCTTCAAACCAGTAGTCGAGTGCATCTTGGTTTACTTCAATTACGCGGTCACTGTTGACGTGACTTTGTTGTCTTAGGCCATCATGGCGTCGGCTTATGCCGGCTATCGATTTTCTATTCCTAGGGGTCCTGTTATTTTTTGTTCCAGCAGATGGATGATCATATCTCCTATGACAGAGGAGTCTGTCGCTTTGTGGCAAAAGGCTGTCGAGTAGGACTGACAAAAGTTTATTAAAAAATGAGCTTTTGGTTAAATTTAAAATATTATTGAGTAGGACTTCAAGGTGACGAAAAAATTAAAAAATGGCCTGGCTGCCAGGAAAATTTGCTTCCAAACGTGTGATAAATATTCTGATCGAGTGCAGAAGCCTTCATATTGAATAATTAGTGAGCTCGAGGAAAACCTGGAGCGATAAATAGTTCGGGGAGGAGGGGGGGGCCTTAGGACCTCTTCCGCTCTGGCTGAGGGATATTCATTCACGCTGCGTTTAGACCAATCGCGCACGAACAAAAACATTCGATGGATCATAACAACTGTTAGCCGTAAATTTCTAAATTCTTTATGAATGAATTAGAATGGTTGAAGAAAGAATTAGAAGGGATTTGGCAATCCTTTCCTGCCTTCTCTATATCTCAAAGGCCATTGCTCAAGCAAGTTTGTTAAAAATATCATGTTTTTTTTTTCTGCCTGATTCCCCCAGCTCTAAGGTTTTTAAATATCTGCCCAAAGTATGACACCAAAATTTTTCACCTTCCGTTTCTCATTTCATAATTTTGAAAAAAAAAAGTTGTTGAAAATATGATAAAAGGTTTTTCGCTTTTCCGGAGTATAGATAATCGGAAAGCTGTTATTGAAAATAGCATAGATCCATTAAGATGAACACAAGTGTGTTTTGTGTTGAAAGAGGAACTTAAGTTTGAAATGTACAATATCTCTGAAAGGAATCGCTTCCTGAGCGCATGCAAAGGTCTCTTGGAAAACAAGATAAAGAGAATTAAAAGCTTTGAGCGCATGCAAAGGTTTCTTGGAAAACAAGATAGAGAGGATTAAAAGCTTTGACAGGTGAGGAAAAGGTGAAATAGTATAGAGAGGCCGTAGGGTTGAATAAATAACTGCCAAAATATAAAACAGTGTTCCGACAATGAAAACAGTTAAAAAAATAAATAAAAAGACCAGCTAGCAGTTATTCCTCGGATGCACTCAACAGCGAGGAAAATTTGAAAGCTACCTTACAAGGGTTAAATAAGCGCGTGAATTAGTAAAATCATTGTATCTGAAAATGATATGTTTAACCGTCATCGGAAGCCTCTCTCTTAAAAAGAGTGATGTTTCTTCAACAAAAGAAAGTTGTCGAAGAAAAAAAAAATCTAGCAAAATAAAACGCCGTAAAACTTTTTTTTTCTTTGACGACAACGGAGGAAGGAATTGTAGGGTAAGGAGAGGGTTGGGGTGGTGTGGGTAAGATTTTATCCTTTTTTTCCTTTTTATATTCTCGATGTTTTCAAAATGCATCGCTGAAATGCATGTCCAAGATCATGAATAATTCGGGAAGAACCACTTCAGCATTGACACATGAACTTGAAATATAGCAGCTTCACGAAAAATTGGGTTAACCTGTCGAGTCAAAGTTTATTCAAATAGGTCAATATTTTGTCATTGAAGGCAACATTATCAAATGGAGGCACGCTTACGGATTTCTTCTGTAATGTTAAGACCCTGCGTTTTTACAGCCTGGCTGCAATAAAGCCGAAACCCGAAAGATTCAATACGACAAAATGTGCACCATTATATTCAAAAGTCACGATTTTAGATACATGTTAAAGAAGCTTTCGACTAAATAAAGAGCCGTGCATGATTAGAAAATATGGAATTCAACGAATCTATTAGAAAAAGAGCAATTCCCCTTCTTCGGCGAAGTCCACCGTAGTAATAAAGAAATCAGCGAACGTTAATTTTGATGTAAGCGCGCCGTCGGGACGACGGACTTCGCCGAAAAAAAGGGACTGCTTGTAATCCATGAATCTGTATTTATTTAACTGCGGTAAACCAAACAAGAGGCGGTAACGTTCTTTATGTCCCATTTGTTTTTCATATTTGTAAAAGAAATGAATTATGCGTTATTACCTATGGTTCGTAAATTTGAAAGAAGTATGCAATAAGGACAAATTATTTAGAAAAAAAAATTAATTTCACCGATAGGTCGAGTACCTTACTACCTATAAATTAAAGTTTAAGCAATCATGTCACACTTGCGAGAGGTAATATCCTGTCTTCGGAGGATAAGGTCCTTTTCCACCGGTTTATTTGTGTAAAAATCGTTGTTTACTTATGTCACAACTCCATGACCTCAGTAAGTGGCGCAGAATCCTTTCCGATCACACTTTTCACCGCAGCTCGTAACTCGTGCATTTTCCAGAAATAGAGAAAAGGATTCCACGAGGAAGGCAGAAAAGCTAAGGTACGAGTGATGTCATAAAACGCCTCGACTTCGCTCGTGAAACCCACGTACACATACGCAAATAGAACACACGTAAAAGGAAGGTATGATACCATGTACAAACCGGAAACATACGCCATATTGATGACGGTTCTTTTAAACCTCTGAACATCGATGGGTTGGCGTCCTGTACTCACGGAACTTTGCGCTTGTATCTGAAGGAAATGTCGGCGAACCTGTTTGTAAATTTTCCAGAAAGATATCAACAAAGTAAAAACTGAAAGCAGCAAACCAACGATATTGATATACAAGAATATTTTTACATTCTTCACGGCGAATCTTGAAAGGCTTAGAACTCCTGTACCAATCACGAGATGGACAAGATACATCTGAATCTTTCGCGTGGTGACTAGCTCGTTGTACCTGAGGTGGTAGTGAAGCGCGAGGTAGCGCTCTCCGGTAATAGCAGCGAATAACGCACACGAAACCGCAGCCGAAAACCAGGCGACTATCTCTGTAATGACCCTGCAAGTGCACGAGGCAGAAGTATGTCCGAAGAGATACGCTACCTTGTAGGCTCCGTAAAACGGCTGAACAATTAGTCCAGTGAGAAAGTCAGCAAAAGCCAGGCACCACAGAAGCAAATGAGATTGCGAGCGTAGATTGTCTGATTTTAAGAAAGTGAGAATGATAACTGCATTTCCCGAAGTAGCTATCAACGAGCAAAAAAAATTTATCGCTGTAGTAACCACTGATTCCACATACAGAAGTTCTCCTGGTTTATAATCGTTCAGCGGGTCTAGAAAGAAACATTTCTGGTTTGTTGACCTTGGTAAAACGCTTGCGTTTCTGGTAATATTCTGGTAAACAGAATTTCCCTCCACCATATTAAGGTTCAGTATTTCTTAGAAACGCCGCAATCAAGCAACTACACCCCGAAATCACTGATTACGGTAAGAAAAGGAAAACAAAGCTACTCAGTGTGAGCGAGCAGAACCTGTCAAATCTTAAGAAGTAGTATGCCTCTGAGTTCTACGTATTGTTACCTTGAATTGCTCGTTAGAAATTATTGTGGCAGCTGTCATCAACTTTGGCAAACATTTACATTTAGTAATGATTATTCATCTCTCTGGTGCATGGAACCTAGGAAATATTTTCTTGATTTCGTGATGTTAGAACATATATATTTCTTTGCCATAACTAAAGTAAACAATCTCTTTAATTTTACTTTCGAAAATTACCGAAAGGCTCCATTGAATTTGAATTAAATTTAGCGTGGCCTCAGGAAGCAACATTTACTAAACTTTTGTGGCGTCATAACAGGCAGTGTTAATTTCAGTTTACTTAATGATTGACTAGTTCATTAAATACATATCTTTCTTCCGAACGTTTTCAGTTCGAATTTTAATTCTTTTAAGTTCCAAGCTCATGAAAAGGAGTATTGTCAGATATGAAGCATTAAGTGATGAGATCTGTTATGAGTACATTTTACCAGAGATTTCATGATGATCATTCCTTTCAGTCAAGCTTTTCAATACAGGCCAAATAAAATGTCTCTTTAAAGGTTCTTTATTGTTATTATAATGTAGACTTTCCTTAATTATTTTTTTTACAAAGATGGTAAAAATTATCTTAGAAGCGAAGAAATTAATATTTCAAAACCCAATTTGGTAATATATGTCTATTTGAAACTACAACACGTCACGTCGTTTTCAAGGTAATATTACTTTTTAAAAGTTTTAAACTCGCCAATAAATGTAACTTTCAGACTTGAGACCTTAAATCTATCGAAAGCTTTTGACCTCGCCGGTTCCTTTTTAGATTAAAATATTTACGTGCATTCTCGATCTCTCCAGTATTTAAATTCAAGCCAAAATAATCGGTGGAATCAAGTATTTTATTGTTATTATAATGTGTACAAGCTGTTGATAAAAGACGGTTGTCATTTATCAAACGAACAAGTTAGGAATTATGAAAATCCAATGGTTCATTAACTTGAAAAATTCTGTTAATTAATCGAGGTTGTCAATGTGTACTTCCTTGGCCTATAATTGTTTCATCGTCTTGAAAGGGAGACATTGTAAATGGTAGCTCAAAACTACTGGGGATCTTCTTGAGAGAGCAATGTTTAATTAATGTTACCCTCAACAACCCAAATGTTTAATTTTCAATACAGGCTTTAACGTGTTGTTAATCACGCAGGCTGATTCCGTCGCAATGTAAGATAATTCAAAACAAAACGATGAGAATACTTCTATTCACCTCTATTAATTTCAGCTTAGGATTGAGGATTACCTCCCTTCAAGAATACTTTCATCAGCACAACGCTATTCCCGTCGAGAATTACTCTCAAGGTATACGTAATTCCTTGAAGCAATGTTTAAGGCAAGACCACGCAATTCCTCTTAATGAGAAGGTATATGTAAACACAGAAACTATTGTGAATTTTGTGTGCTTCAATCGCGAGATGAAGAAAAAACCGTGACTGCCCCAATGGGGATCCAATCTGCGATGCGATGCTCAAAATGTTTTGGTTGAATGCTCTAGTACTCAGGAAATAGAGAAGCTATCTTGCACACTTGCTCTTGGAAATGATGCTGAATTCGAAAAATTATTGCCAAAGAACCGCTTACATCGTCCCTGAATTCGTAATTGACCACACCAACACAAATAGAGTGGAAAAACTTCCTTTTTAGGGCTATGGCTACAAGAACTAAGAAATACTGATAAAAGTTGTACATCAAACGAACTATTAATAAGAATAATGATAAAAAAACCGACACTGCTGAAAACATTTAATTCATGTGGCAATTCACATAGAACTATTTTCAGTTCAGCGATTTCATTTTTAAAATACAAATTTTCCAATGTCGATTGAGTTGTTCAATAAGGGATACTGTGAACAGTAACATGCCTACAAAAACTAATATCTATAAATAGCGTTGGACTCCGAGAAAAAAACTACATTTCTTCAATCAAGGAATACCCTTATATGGAGCAAGATGAACACGCGAAACATCAGCGAAACCTTTTCTTTCGCTCAGCCAGTCAATGAACAGCACAGGACATATCAGTGTACCACTCATGGTGCTCATTCAGTATTCATGGAAACCTCCGTGCTTTTCGTTTTGTGCTGCTCTCTTTTTCCCGCTTTCTCTTTCCTTTTTGTTTGATCTCAGGTTTCAAATTTCATACCATTAGTTACTATTTTCCTAAAATACCAGTATTTTCTTTAAATGTCTCGGTCATCCATTTTCATCTCCGAATCTAAATACCAATTATCCGTACTGCCTTCCATATATTTCCCATAGGTCTAGCTCTGAAAATTTTCTCTAAAATAATAGAAAAACTTCTATTTCTAGTTGATATTTTACTCTCTTCTTATCAACTCAGTCAAAAAGTATTGCATTGGTGAGGAAAAATTCCTTTTTCGTCACACCTGAGAATGAAAGTGTTATCAACTGGTTTTCGTGGATTTCCTGGCTTTCTTTCTCTCTTTGATTTCAAGCGCGTACTCGTCAGACACCTTATAGGTCTTCTCTGTCTCTAGCAATGTCTTCATCTTTTCTATTTCCAGTTGTAAAGATCGATTTCGAGTAGCTTCTCGCCTTAGCTTCTCCTTGAGCTGATCTACCGAACCCTCCTTCCATTGCAGAGCATAGAATGCAGCTTGAATGGCTACCAGCGCTGTAATTAAGTACGATTGAAGAGCGAGGGAAATGGCCAATGTTGCACAGTTGACAGCAAAAAGCGTCATTGACTTCCATTGAAAGCGTTCTCTCTTTTTAGGGCGCTGTGGCTTTTCTTTTTCAAGCTCTCTTTTCTTTTGCTCTTCTAGTTGATCTTCGGCGTAATCAGCTAACTCTTGTGCGGCACTGCACAAGTCATCCGTCATTTCGTCGTCTTCTTCATCGTCGGCATTGATCTCTTTCAACGTTTTTATCATAGTGTTGTAGAATTTTGCTCTAGCTAAAGCCTTCTCCTCGGCTTTGGACCTTACGGCAGCCTCAAGCTCTGTGACTTCTTTTGCTTTAGGAGCTTGTTTTGAAATGATGTTTTGCATTCCTTCCATCTCTTGCAGCTGCCAAATAAGCTTCGCCAGAGTAGTGCGTTTTTCCTTCCTCTCTTGCTTTTCTTTTTCTATCTCTTTCATGAGCATGTCAATTGCTGACTTCTGGGACTTCACAACTTCAAACTGTCTATCTAAGAGCTCGGTCATGTCATCCATTTCTTCGTTTTGCTCGGCAAAGTTTTGTCTTTCGTTGCGTAATACTTGGGACACCCTCCGTTTGGAGTACCACGCATTCGCGGCGACAGTTATCAAAACGAAGAATATCATATACGGCGCTAAGAAATGATAACCGCCCAGCTGACAAAGTAACACAGAAACTGCAATGCAAATAGGAAGAACAGAGATAGGCAAGTTTAAAGTTTTAATTCCATCTTCTCTCGCCTCTTCAGAAGTAGTTTCGAGCTTCTCAAGCTCTGAAATTTTGGCTTTTCTATCATCCATTTCTTTTTCACGCAGTCGTTTCATATGATCAATCTCCTCTTTCAACATTTTGTACTCCTCGTATCCCCTCTTCATTTTTTCGGCCTCGGAAAGTTTTGTTTTCTCGATCTCCATTTTCATTCTGGATTCAAAATCTTCTGCTTCTAATTTCCTCAGCTTATTAGACATTTCCTCCTTGGTCGCCATGATCTCTTCACTTTCTACCCGCTTCGCTTCTTTGTCAGCAATTTCTTCTTCAAGTTGTCTCTTAAGGTCTGCAATTAAGGCTGTGTCTCCTTCCTGACGTAGTTTCATTTCCTCGATTTTTTCAAGAAGCTCTTTCTTTTGTTGATCCATCGCGAAAAGCTGATTCTTTAAACTTCCGTCAGAGATATTAAGCACTGTCCTCTTAAACCGAGAAATAAACAGCAGAATCAAAACAGTGGTCAAAACACCAGCCATCAGGGTATTTGATACTTTTAAAGTAGCTGCAAATACTACGGCACCAATGAGGGTAACAAAAAGAAATAAGACAAACAATCTTTTCTTGCTAAAAGGTGAAATACTTCGTGTGTCATCCAGGTTTCTGTGAAGGACAGCGTCTGTTTCAAAACACGACTGTTCGTCGTCTTCCACAGAGGCTGACCCTGGGCTGATTTCATTGTGTACGGTGAGGGAAGCTTTCTGTGTCGTTCCCACCAAATCAGGTAGAGGCAATGACTGTTCAAGGCTGGTTTCTCTAGCCTGAGGAATAATTTCTTGAGACTCTCCCTCTGAATCTGAGGTTAGTTCGCCCTTGAAACTTGTCTCATTCTCTTTGATTTCCAACATTTCCTTTCCGTATCGGTTTTCGATGGATTTCAGTAACATCCTAAGTCGTTTAAGCTTCTTCTCTTTCTCGTCAATTTGCAGAGACAAAACGCCACGCAGGCTGCTACGCCTTTTAAGATAGCTCTTGTCATTTTCATTCGGCAATTTGGCGGTTTTGTCATTTTCTTTGAGGGTCTGGGCCATCTGCTGATGACCAGTAATTTCCTCCTGAAGGCAATCGATTTGTTGTTGAAGGTCGCTCACCATTTCAATCGCAGCACTAATATCCTCCTTGCTCTTTCGAGCTTTCTCTGCGTTTTTAACTGCGTCCTCTCTTTCTTTCTCTGCCTTCAATCCTTGATAGATAGACTTCATTATCTGAAGAGACAGTTGTAACTCCCTTAGCTCAGCTTCTTTTTTGATCAGTTTGGATTTATATTCCTTTTTCATGTCTTGGATTAGTTTGTCTTGCTGTGACAAAGATAATTTTAATTTCTGAACTTCATTGTCATCCTTTACTATCATTGTTTTTTCTGGAGGAGGAGACTTCACTTTGTCCTTCAGCTCCTTAATGCAAATGTTTTT